TTTAGCTACTTGCAGGTTTAAGTTCCTCAAGCCAAACACTTGAATATCTATCATAAATTAAAATGGCAAACACAGTGGCTAGCACCTTCTTCAGAAGGACTCACTGTAGCAGTCTGGTAACTTGTAAACCAAATTTTGGCAAGCTGAGAAAATCCTGTTTATCCTGACTCATGGACGCAGCCAGCAATGTATCAGATGGTCCATGGGCATGCTGTCAGAGGCTGAGACTAGATCCAAAGTGACTGCTTACAGACTATTTACTAATGGACCTTTATATGACAGTAATTTGACTGGCTTTATTACACAAAATCCAGTGTGACATCTATTTCCTGTGATCCACAATACCTTGATAACTTATATTAATAATGTCTCAGTACAAATGTCATATGTAAATCTTAAAAACAAAGAAAATAAATGTTCATTTTCTTAGTTGAAATGTCAACATCTCTCTAAACTAGACTAAATGTTTAGTTTGCTAAACTTTTTACCATATGTTACCATTCTGGTTATATGTGTTGCCACAGAATTATAACCAACAACAAAAGTACTTTAGCATTTACCACCACCAGTGGTATTTTTCCAGTTTAGAGGTCATGGGTGTGCAGAACCCGTTGAGCCAGCTTAAGAAGCCAGAAAAGTTCTGTGTTGATGCTGCATGTGAACAAAGCTGTAAGATAAATGGTTTGAGCATGCTCGAGGTTAGAATGCTCTGATGTAAGAAATCTGCAGTCAAAAAGTTGGGTTGTACTATATGTAAAATATTTGTTTTGGTGTATTGGTGGCTATTCTGTATGATTTCATTTGAATGGTTAGGTTTAAGGTTGAGGTTAGGGGTGGAATTTTGTGTGTATTTTTTTTTTTTTTTTTTTTTATTGACTGAGTGCACCTTTCCCTCTAATGAAAAGGAGGATATTGGCATGTGTGTGTATTTGTGTGTGTTTACACATGAGAATGAAAGTGTCAACTACATTATATGGTTAATTTTCTTTCGAATAACATTTAAATAAAATTCATATGAAATCATCACCCCATAAAACAGTTACTTTTTCCTCATGAGATTTTGTTGGCCAAGTTCAGAAGGAGCTGATGCAGTGACTTCAGGCCATTTCATTACAGGCCTGTGATGTGGAAGTCAAAAATTATGATTATCTACTGTAATGTTATCAAATTGGACAAGTGCTGAATGGCGCAGCTGTTAAAATGTAATTTCCAGCAAATGGTATCACCAGGGTTTCTGCATCTAGGAAGTGCAAAATTTGTATTAGCTACGGTTTCAACAGATCTCCATTAGACTAATACTACTAGAATATGGAAATAACTTTTACTGTACCTACTGATCACACTGCAAAAAGTGTTTTTCTTCCTAAGATCTATTGTCTTGTTTTCTAATGCAAAATGTCTAAACAACTTTCTCAGTTGGTCGCACCAGCACATGATTTGGTCGCACATTTTTATTTATTTTTTTGCTACATGGTATTAATCAATGCATGCTGATGAATAGTTTTTTTCCGTTATCAAAGTTTATAGTTATATGGTAACAAATGTGAGATTAGCATCAACCTGTTCTTTTTCATTCAGTATTATTTCTGAACTGAATTTTGTGAACAGGAGTTCCTCTTTTGCTATGTTATAAGCCGGGCTTCAGAATTCGGACGCTCCCCCCAACACCCACCCCACCCCCCCACATTTAACAATAACGTTTATAATTTGTTAATTAACGGGTTTCTTGTGTGAATGTGGCTAATGTCACAGTAAAGTGTGTCACCCTGTACTCATCAGGGGTTGCTGCCAGCTGCTGAGATTTTCCATTACAGAGATAGCTGACGTTGTTTTTAACTTGCCGCCCTCTCACTTCTGCTGGTTTGATTAGCAGGAGTGGTGGGAGGTGTGATGATGCCTAACAAAGAGGGGCGAAAAATACTGTGAATTTCACACCTGGGCCAAAATAATGACCTGAAGCTCCTCTTAAGCACTTTATCACTTCATTCAAGCACTCACTGTTGGGTCCAGTGACTGTCCTCAAAACAAATTGAATGTTTCTGTCTGTCCCCACCTCTTTAACTTTGAAAACTTTAGGTTCTTACAGAGGCAGCTGAATCTAAATAATTTTTCTCTTTTTTGTTTTAATAGTCTTTTCACTTCCCATAATGATACCGGTTTGAACAATCCCACCCTTAATAGAAAGGCCATGCAATCAGAAAATGAATTTCACAAAAACATGACAGATGCAAAGATTTTTATTTTAACTCACTCTGTACCTACTTTGTACCTTTGAGGCAACTAAAGGAGGTATAAATTTTATAGTGCCCCTATTATGAATTTTTGAACATTACCTTTTATGTAGTAAGGTGGCTGTATGGAAATGTAAACAGTCTGCAAAGTTGTAAAGCTGAAAGTGCATCACAAATAAAGTTATTGTCTCTCAAAAGAAAGAGTCAACTCTGAATCGCTTAAATGAGTCATTTAAAATTTGAATCTCATTTCCGTTAAGTTCACATGTCACAAGTTACCACATATGCATAATGCCCACCTACGTTCTGCATGAACATCCCGCGAAAACTTGAGCCTCCCTCAAACGCTGTAGCTCAGTCATGTGGATAACATGTCGACAAGACGCTGTGCTCTGCGCTGTGAAAGTAAATTCGGTTTATTTTCACTTCCAAGGGATGAGTATCAGTGGTTAAAATTAATCTTTACTACGATACCACAGCAGATACCACAGCAGTTTGTTTGGACCAGCTTGCTCCTTCAAATCACAATTAATAATTGTTTAATTAACAATTAATAATTGTGATTAATAATTGTTGCTGTAATGTTCTGTCGAATGTGCAAAAATATCTAGTTTTGTGTTGTGTATACAGTCAGTGCAGCTGTAAGTCTTCGGCTAACTCACGTTATAGTTCTGCTAATCAGCTGTCGGCCTGCTATTGTCTAGAAATGTGACGATTAACATAGAATGTCTGTTGTTCTTATTACTTGGAGTCAGGATAAAGGATGGAGAAATACGTTGGTTTACAAACTGCAGTGATTTATCAGTACTCCACGTCTGTGTTTGGCTAACACATATAGCATTATTGTTTGGGTCTTTACTACGTTCTGTTTACGACATGATCTGTACACAGTAGACCAATCACAACAGACTGTGTCATCGGACCAATCAGAGCAGAGTAACCTCATGCAAAGGAAGGGTTTGGACAGATGAATCTTCGAACGAATCGTTTGAGTCACTGAGAAATAAGGATAATTTAAATGCATATTATAAGAAAATGAAAGTGTGTTTTGACCTTGCATTCATGTAAACGTGTTGTTGGGGACTCCCAAAACCAAATTATAAACCTTTCAAATAGCATAATAGAGGCACTTTAACGTTTTCTTTCTAGTATCCTTTACTTATGTCCACTGTTCTCCATTTACATTTACTTTTAATTACTCACCAATTTACAATATTTCTCAATCATTTTGCATATTCACAAATGTATTATTATTATTAATGTTGTTGTTGTTGTTATTAATAGCAAACTGTGTCAGGTGTAGCTTCAAGAGAACATACATGTTGTTTGATTTTCTTTAATTTATTTGTTCATAATAATTTAATCTCAATTATTAATTATTCAATTTTATAATATAATTAATTATTGTGTATAATTAAACATTTTGTCTTTTTTATTATATTAAATATTTTCCTTGCTCTTGTAGTGCTTTTTATTGTTGTTTAATCTTATGATTACATAGTTTCAAGGGATATTTGTCTTTACAAGTTAGAGATAAAAGAATGTCTCCATTTCAGATTTTTAACACCACAGCACAATGTTATTAAGCAGTAATTTTCCATTGCTTTTGCTTTGGTATATAACACTTGGATTTGTGCTGGTCAGATGAATCAGGGATCAAGTGTACACAAAGTCTGTGCATTGAAACATACACAACTAAGATTGTTCAATAAATCCTGTTTTTTTTTTTTTTGTCAAATTCACTCAGTAGCGCCTCACTGCAGAACACAAGATCCAGGGGGCGTGGTTGGATCTACATCTAGGGGGTGGAGATTGGTAGGTTTAGGGGTGGAGATGGGTGGGTTTAGGGATCAGGGGTGGAGATGGGTAGGTTTAGGTATATGTAAGGTGGGAGGAGTTGGATCTGGATCCTCGCCCCCTGGATCTTGTGTTCTGCAGTGAGGACCATCTCAAATCACTTTGCCTCCTGATTTCTGCTCTTGCCTGGCTTTCTATTTCTTCCTGTCAGGCTGATAGAAGACAGATAGATACAACAAAGAATTTTAATATGATAGAAGAAAGTCAATACAGTTTTGGGTACCAAACAAAAGAGCCATTTTACTGTTTTTTGGTATCAGACAAAATTCTGCTGGCTAGTTCTGGATCCCAGACAAAACAGATACCTTCTGATGGGATCTAGTAAAGAGACTGGATCCAATATTCGGGGTGGAGATTGGTAGGTTTAGGGGTGGAGATGGGTGGGTTTAGGGATCAGGGGTGGAGATGGGTAGGTTTAGGTATATGTAAGGTGGGAGGAGTTGGATCTGGATCCTCGCCCCCTGGATCTTGTGTTCTGCAGTGAGGACCATCTCAAATCACTTTGCCTCCTGATTTCTGCTCTTGCCTGGCTTTCTATTTCTTCCTGTCAGGCTGATAGAAGACAGATAGATACAACAAAGAATTTTAATATGATAGAAGAAAGTCAATACAGTTTTGGGTACCAAACAAAAGAGCCATTTTACTGTTTTTTGGTATCAGACAAAATTCTGCTGGCTAGTTCTGGATCCCAGACAAAACAGATACCTTCTGATGGGATCTAGTAAAGAGACTGGATCCAATATTCTTGGCATGAAGACTTCATCTAACGTTTTTGGCATAGTCGACAGGATGTTAGCAAAATCTATAGGTAATGCTGTAACACATTTAATTGTTTCTCCAACACATTTCTATTAATGTGTGTTTAAATTAAATAATGTTCTGCTAAGTGAGCAATTATGTGAATACACCCACCTTCAATATAGAGTGGCTCCACCACATCATGGTTTATCAGTTCAAAGTTCTCATGGCCGATCCAGTGCTCAACATTGCGCTTACGGCCAGTGAAGAAATTATCCACCACTGTCACTTCGTGACCATCCATCATCAGCTTATCAGTGAGGTGCGAGCCCACAAATCCTGCCCCACCCGTGATCTATCAGAGGAAAGACTGTATATCATTTCACATGCCAACATTACTGAAATATATAGTCATAAATGACTTTTTACTTACTAAATTTGAGATACATTTTAATAAAGCAGTGGTCACATGGGACTGAATCACAACATGCGGCTAAATAAGCACTGTGAATAATCAGAGGAATAGAGCAGTCTTTCTACTCCCTGCTGTTTCTGGTTTCCTCACTGCTTCTACGTACAATTCAGTCTCAATCATCTGGGTGCAATGCTGCCTATTGAAAAACTTCCTACTACCTACTATAATCATTTCATTGTGACACATTGTCAATTAGTTATGCTTTAACCTGACATGGTGATCATATAAACACAGTAGATTTTATTTAATAACATTTCGGTTGGAGGAAGAAAAAGATGCCACTGATCTGCCAAAGAGTGGAAAATGAACAATTAAACGGCAATAAACTATGAAGACCAACTATAATTTAGTAAGGAGCAAGGGATTCCATGTATATCTGACAGACAGAGGTACATGTATTATTGAAGCAGTAGTTTCTAAACACTTAAGAAGACTGAGAAGAACTTCTTACCAAAATCCTCTTTCGGTCCTTCTCTGATAAGAATTTCACAGGTGGGTACTTCTGGGTAAAACTGTATAATGAAAGAAAACCTTAAATAAGCATGATTCAAGACTAATTAGCTTCTATACCTCAAAAGACCACTACATAGAGACATAAGTGCAAATAAATCAATGCTGATGAAAAATGTCCTTAAGCACATTACATTCTCCTTGCCACTCTTTCAAATTATTTCAGTACAAATCCACTTATCAGTATCTAAGAGCAGAAACTCAATAACAATTCAAGAATCCAGCGGGATGAATCTGTGCTTTTGATTTTCCTATCAATTATTCTTGAGTTTCTCCGTGATACTTAATAGTGAAACTGAGATACTCAATACTGACAAGTGGATATGTATATCATTTCAACTGCTGCACTGGTCCCATAGAGAACACATTTTTCTTTAGGTAACTCAAATCTCTTGTGTTCTGTGCACTCCAGAGAAGCTTCATTATAACATCAATTCATCCCTCAGAAAAATCTGCACTACTGCCCTTCTGAAGAGCTACATTTATAAGCAACAGTTTTCATTTCCTATTTTCTGTAAACCTGACTTCATGTTTGTAGCCTTTGCAGCCAATTGCTATAATTGTGTCCTGCATGTAGAGTTGCATTATATTCATTAGTACTATATGTCATGTTCGATCAAGCTCAAGGTGAAAAGAAACTATCCTAATGTTCGCTCTCTAGCTCAGGTTATCAGGAATTAACTCCAAAACACTCCTTTAGGGAAGCAGTGAATTCACACTTTTGTTGAACAATGCCAGAATGAAGAGCATGAACATGTGGAAGGCAAAAAAAATAAATAAGGGCTATAAAGTTGTCACTGCCAAACGGAAGATAGACAATCATTAATCCTTCCTCTCACATGCGTTTTCCCACAGAAGCTGTAAAATAATTTATTTTAGGAGCACAGCCATGCTGATAATGCTGATTGTACCTTAAAAAGTGACAAAATATATATATATATTTTTTTTGGCCAAACTGATTCAGTTTTAGTAGAAACAGGATTCATTTCATACTGCAGCCATGACATTTGAGACTGTTTGATGAATCTTCTGACACAGATAATTTACACTGAGATGATGTCAGTGTTGGGATTAGTCAGGGCCCCGGGCAAATAAAACAGCATCATGTAATCTCCTACAGGTCTGGCTGAGATGCGGTAAAGTGAAAAGAAAGAGACAGCCACACTCTTTGGAGATTTCACATATCAAAAAAAAAAAAAAACAACGATGAAAGAGCAAATTTGACTCTCTTGCTACGTCAATCAAAGCTTGGTGCACATTATGCTTCAGCTCGTCTTTTCATCCATTCATCCCTGCTTAAGCTTCTCCAGGTTGTCTGTTTTAAGACATATGCCACTTTATGAAGCAAACTTACAGTGCAAGGTTTGAGGTTGAGAAATATCCTAGCCAGATGATTACTTTCTTCTCAGGGCTTTTTTCCTCACTACTGCACAACATATTTGTCAAATGTGGCCACATTAAAAATAGCATGTATAATATAAAGTAAGTAAATAAATAGATAAATGTACTAAATATTACTGTGTTTTAAAGTATTGTACTATAAGAAATAATTTTATTATCTGTAAAAGACCATGGCATGATATGAAGCACAACCAGACATGAAGTTAGCACAGTGTACACATTTTTGGGTGTAAAATAAAAAAACATACCTAAGCTCAAGTTCCCGTATCTTCTCCCTGAGAGGTGCCACTGCCTGTGAGCAACAGAGTTAGATATGAAAGCAAGAACAGGACAGGATGGGCAAAGAAAGAGAAACATGAGACACAAAGAAAGAAACAAAGAGAACAGGAAAAGAGGCGATCAGAGAGAAATTTATAGAGTGTGAGGGGGAATACATCCATTAGTCAGGTGAGACTGGGACAGTTAAAGGGCCCTGTTTTAACGATCTAAGCGCATGGCGCAGGTGCACTCAGGGCGTGTCCGAATCCACTTTTGCTAGTTTAACGACGGGAAAACGGTCGGCGCGCCCGGGCGCATGGTCTAAACGGGTTGCCCCTATTCTCTTAATGAGTAATGGGTGTTTTTTGGGCGTAACGTGCAATTAACCAATCAGAGTCTCATCTCCCATCCCCTTTAAAAGCTGGTTGCACTCGCGCCATGGCAGGTTCGCTATTTACATGGCTGAATGTAATTTTTCATTTTTAAAAATGTTTGTGTGCTGCTGCGCGTAAGCAAAGTGCAAAGCAAAGTTTGCTTAATAAGCAAAGTGTACGCGCGTTGTGCACCCGCCTATAGGCGCATATTACTAACGTGCTCTTTAAATAACAAAGAAAAAATATTGCGCCAGACCTTAGACCAGGTTTGAGTTGGTCTACGGCGCAGTGTATTTTCAGTTCCTCAAAATAGCAACGCGCCAACAATGCGCCTGAACACACCTCTTTTTTAGACCAAGCACACCCTGGGCGCACAAATGGGCGCAAATGCATTTGCTATTTAAACAATGCGGCGCAAGACGGGAAAATGAGAACTGCGTCAGGCTGAAACTAGCAAAAACCCTTGCGCCGCGCCTTGCACCGGGTGTATGATAGGGCCCAAAGCCTTCTAAGGGAAGCTAAACAGACAGAATGGCAGAAATGTATCTCTGACCAAGACAAAGTCTTGTAAGTTTATGTGAAAAAAGGCCAAAATTAAATGGCCTGAATGGAATTCAATTGAATAAAATACACAATAGTTTACACTGCCATTCAAAAATTTAGGGTCGATAAGATTTTTTTTTAAGTTTTAGAAAGAAGTGCCCACTAAGGCTGCATTTATTTGATCAATAATACAGCAAAAACTTTAATATTGGGTAATTAATACAATATAAAAAATATAACATCATAATAGAATACAATATAATTATTACAATTAAAATTGTTTTACTCCAGTCTTCAGTGTCACATGATCCTTCAGAAATAATTTAATATGCTGATTTAGTGCTCAAGAAGCATTTCTTCTTATTACTAATGTTGAAAACATTTGTGCTGACTGACATTTTTGTGGAAACTGTAATTTTTTTTTTTTGATTCTTTGATTAATAGAAAGTTCAAAAGAACAGCATTTATTTGAAATAGAAATTATTTAAACATCATAAATGTATTTACTGTTACTTTTGATCAATTTAATGCATATTTTCTGAATATACATTTAATATCCCCTTGACCTGGACGAAAAATTATATATATATATATATATATATATA